GCCTGCCCGCGATAAATCCCAGCCGCGTCCTTGAAGTAGTTTGCTGCACGATCGGCGAGAAAGCCACGTTGAGAGTCGCGGAGATGACCTTCATATCAGTATTGCGAAGGCCGAGAGTACGCACAGTGTCAGGGGAGCGAACGACACCACGCTCGTCATCGTCTCCAGCATGGCAACCTTTGGGAAGAAATGCCTGCAGTGTCGCTCCCGCTGATGGGAAGAGCGTCTGACCATCCATCATCCAGCGACAAGCCTGCCATAATACCTCAGCTCCATGCTCAGGTGCTGCCCAAGCTACGTAGGGGAGGCCGTCCACTCCAGGCGCAGAGCGCGATGGGCGCCATACGCCGCAAAGTACGCTGAAGCATATGAAGCGAAGGCGGGGGCAAATCATCGAACACGCACGGCATGACAAACTTCTGGGTGTACCTCTCAGCATGTACAGGGTACGACGGTGGGCGAGCTGACACAGGTGCCCAATAGCTGACCAATGCGTTCAACTTCTCGGCAGGATCAGAAAGCTGCTGGTCGCCAACCTGAATGGCGCGCAACGTGAGCCGCTTGCCGAAGGGGACCCAGAGCTTGGCTTTCCTTTGTGCTGCAGAAAGGGTACCAGGAGAGACCTTAGCGCGGCCTTTCCCATGAAGAGCACCCTGTTGGAGAACCGCAAGTTGTTGTTCAGCCGCTCGATGTTGTATGGATTCCACCCTTGCTTGAAACGCCGCAGGATGCACCGACTGAACCAGCCCCTCGGAGGTGATGTTAACGCAGCTGTTGAAGACCCCGGACGAGTTGGCAACCTTCTGAGCAAGGCGCGCATCCTGCCGCCAAATAGCGCGCGCAGCTTGCCGTGCGGAAATTAATTGGGCTTCATGTTTGTCGATGTCAGTAACCAGAATTTGTTGAATCGTATCATATGCCGCTGAGTCCATAGGCACCTTGTACCTCTCCATCTGACGAGGAGGAGACATATCTGTGAAGAAACGACCATCTTGGCGCAGAAGCCTGTCGAGTCGGGCGCGAAAGTCATCACAAAGATACACAAAACGCGGAACAGGGCGCCGATAGCTATCATCAAGAGAGCGATGCTGAAGGTGGACCCGAAGAGCAGCATGATCCGAAATGTGCTGCTCGCTGAGGCGCTCAGGAGACGAAACCACAGCTGCGGAATGATGAAGTTGGCAGGCGACCCATCCAGGCTCGGATAACCAAAGACGATCAAGCCGAGCAACAGTATGAGAGTCCTTGCAATAATGCGGAGGGTATTCCGCCGATATCTCAATCATCTTGTCCAGCGCCACCATCCAGCTCTTAATATGCGTACGATTGTTGTTGGTCGGACGGGTCGATCGCTTCAGACACGGCTGGGAAAGATGTAGCGGCTCCGATGTTGCAAAGTTGAAATCACCACATACTGCCACCAATCTTGACTGTGGATCAGCTTGTACCCACTCTAAGTCAGTTGCAATCAGCGAGGATATACGCTGAACATCGTCATGATGAAGGTCATGGTTGTGCACGTTATAATGGCGAGTCTCAGCTTGTGACCCAACAAACCACGTCTTGAGCACCCGACCTGAAACCAGCGAGCGAGATGAGGACGCCGCCATCGATTGAGCAGAAAGCGGTACTACCGTCGCAACACCACCTCGCGCATGGCCGTAGGCGTCAGTGTCGAACGAGCCGAAGACGGTAACGTCCAACGACTGATGAACCTCTTGCAAGGCACAAACAGAAGAGGAGACCCCCGCCAACTGTAAGTAAGCCGCCTTAGACATCGCTTGCATGCCTCGCCAACGTAGAAGTGCGCGAGCGTTCCACGTGGCAAAGGACAGCTCAGAGCACTTTAAGAGGGATACTGCCAGTGGCCTGATGCAGAAAGATGTCGTCGAAGATGCTAAAGCGACCACTGAGGCGCAACCGTCGGCGCAGCGATTGGATCAAGGAGGCGACGTAGTTCAGCACGTGACCATTGCCGTGCGGTGATCGCCGCGTCATGCCAGAAGATCTTCGCGGGGTTGCGACCAGGCTGCGGTTCGACCCTGACATTCGGGTTCCAACTCTCTGAGATCCGCCCCTTTTGGCGATCGAAGTAGAATTTGGCGTCTTTGAACTCATCGCGAAGGGCTGCAACCATTCTTTTTGCCTGTGATCTCCATCTTGATCTGATAAGGGTTCTTGTCGGGGCCGATGTGCAGCTGGGTGCTTCCCCCGCTGGCTGCAGGCATGGGGAAGCGCATCCATTGTCCTTTACCTGGAAGACGATGAGCAGATAACGCGGCAGCAACCTTCTTTCCCGCGATACCCACTGCACCAGAGAACTGGATCGTGAAGAGCTTGTCTTGGTCGTCGCCCAGGATGGTGAAGCCGTCGATGCTTGCGCCTTTGAGCCATTTATCCACAGAGCCCTGAACATCACACTTCTTGACGAGGGTAGGAGCAACGACCTTGAGAATCGTGCCATCCACCGCTCGATTGAACCCAGGCGTCGGCTTAGGCG